TATGAATTTTAAAAATTAAAATATAAAATGAGTAAATTTTATTTGTTTTTTGGTTTAAAAAAATATATCTTTCATTTGCGGAAGCTTATTCTCCGCCTCATATGGCGATTGTCTGTAAAATGTAAATAGACTTTTATATTTTATATTTAAGAGGAAAAAAGTTTTTTTGTTTGATTATGATTTTGTAAAAAGAAAAAGAAAATATAAATATGTATATATATTATTCTCACGCTCCCAATTGTGGGTTCCTCGTTCTTGTCTGCCACGTGTTACTGTTCCCATGTGTTGTTACTCAATCATACGTCTGTCAGCCAGTAATTAGCTATCTGACGTGGATCGATCTCAATACCTCATGACTGGATCTTATCATCCTCTTCCCTTCTCATTATTCTATTCCGTACAGCAACCTTCCTGTCTTGCTTTTCCAACAATAACAAATAAATAAATAAATAATTCTATCATAATAATAATAGAGAAAATTAATTTATATTAAACACCAGATTAATCTAACAAATTTAGTCATTAATCTTTCAAGTCTTTCTCTAAAACTACTTCCTATTTAATAATTTATCATTAATATATTTAACTTTTAAACTAACTAATGTAATAGGCATAAACTCGTATTTTGTACTTAACAAATTTAAAAAAATTTAAATTATTATTCACATTTTATACAACTTATAGACCTAAGCTTGAAATTACGTTAGTTTGTGTCAATTGAACTATACTCGTGTTTGTGTTAGCATCATTGAAATAAATATGAGTATCAATAAAGGAGTAAGAGATAATATTATTATTATTTTATTAAATAAGTTGTATACTTGAATTGACCTTACACTAATAACTTGTGCATGTGATACTAGGCGTATAAAGTAAATATTCCATAAATATGAATAAAATAAATAAATATAACGACAACCCACATTTTATATAAAAAAGAAAATAATTAAATTCATTTTGGAACGTCATAGTCAAAATAGGAGAAATTTTATGTTGCCATCAAACCATATACTAAATTACACGAGCAAATCCAAGTAGGTGATCGCAAAATATTTAAAATCAAAATAAATGTGTATTAATAAGGTTGGTTACTTTTAATTTTTTAATTTTTTAATTTTTTAATTTGACTGTTAAAGGAAAAAGAAAGGTGGGGCCCATTCGTACACAAAATCAAGATCTTATTGACTAATCTTTTCTTAATAAGGTCATCCAAGAATCATATTCATACTTCATCTACTTCCTGGGGCCCACCTTAATTGTTCACATTTTATTGGTCAACTCTATTCTTCAAGATCACTACGACGTCGTTTTCCCCTCAAGTGATTCCTTAGCGTTGTGCTTACCCTAATTTGGTGAAAGCATGGATTGCCTCAAATCATTTTAGCTCAATGTACGAGTTTACCTTATTTTTTAAAATTATGCCAAAAATTCTATTTTTATTCGGTATTCTTCATTTATTACCTATGCTTTTAAATATCGACCCAAATTTTAAAAAAGGAAAATATATTTTTTAAAACAATTATTTTCATTTAAATTTTGTCTAAAATTTCAAATATTTTGTTTATAGAAATGATAGAAAATAAATACAATTTCCAAAAAGTTCAAATCTAAAAACTAAATAATCATTCAACCAGCCTTTATCCCAAGATGTATTTAGTTTTCAAAATTTTTAATTAAAATATAAAATTTATCCATTTATATGTTAAAGGATATTTGTAGTTTACCAGATATATATATATCATATTTAATATTTTATTATAGACAAATATCTAAATATTTGCTTGCTTACCACATGTATCCTTCATTTATTGCTCTTTCAATGTTCGGTAATTTATTTGATTATAAATAAATGACTTTTACATCATTTAGGTGTGATAGTTTAAGCAAACATTCTCATGGTATCAGAGCCTTTTCGGTTTAGCAACCCCAATCTTTTCTCTTCAATGACTTATGGATCTATTGTTCTCCCCCACCACCACTGTAGGCTTTGCATTGACACTGTATGGGCAATCTCCATGGTTGCGGTAGGCAAAGCTAATTGATTACTCTTCAACTTCACTCTTTTGACCTCCAAATCACACTTCGCTATAGCTTGCATATACCAATTAATTAGGGTTTAGCAAACATTCTCATATATTAAGAAACATGAGATATACAATCAAATAAAAATACTATAATAAATCGATAATTCACCTCATATATACCTATCACTCGACGAATCAAGAGTATTTATCCTTAAAACTTACCGTTATAGAGAAGTGAAGGAGAAGGAAGAATTTAAAATATTTAAAAATTTAAAAAGAAAAAGAAACCCTAATTAGCTTGCTTAAAGCATGGGGAAAAGGGGTTTGACAAAATGGGAAAGCCGAAGTGTGAAAGCCGTGCAAGGAGACGACCGACTTTAAATCAAATCCATATTAATTCTTTTACGCTTTAAAAATAATAATAATAAATATATATATATATAAATAAATATATATATATATATATAAGAGGCATGATGATCACACAAGATTTGATCGGTTGACAAACATTAAACAGAATCCATCACTTTGTCTTCTCTTCTCTATGATGAATCTTAATCTTGTGGGGTCCACTTTTTTTCCACGTTTGGTAGCCCACAGATAAGACTTTTCCATAATTAAGGTTACTTTTTTATTTTTTTTTTAATACTTTTATTTGAGTCTCGATTTCGTTTGAATTTTATGTTTGTTCCGTGTATTAATTGTAATAGCTCTAGCTCACCGTTAATAGATATTGTCCATTTTTGTTCATTACGTATCGTCGTCATACTCATAGTTTTTAAAGTACGTTTGTCAGTGAGAGGTTTTCATATGTTTATAAGAAATGTTTCGTTCTTCTCTCCAACTAATGTGGGATCTCACAATCCACCCTCCCTTTCGACTCTTAGTTATTAAAGTACGTTTATCAAGGAGAGCTTTTCACACGTTTATAAGAAATGTTTCGTTATTCTCTCCAACCGATGTGGGATCTCACAATCTACCCTCCCCCCTTAAAAGCCTAACGTTCTCTCTAGCACACCGTCTCGTGTATGGCTTTGATACCATTTTGTGATAGCCCAAGTCCACTGCTAATATATATTGTCTGCTTTGGCCTACTATAAACTCATCGGTTAAGGAGGGGTTTCCACACACTTATAAGTAATGTTTTGTTCTCCTCTCCAACTGATGTGGGATCTCACTTACTAGGTTAGACATTGTCTCTTTAAATTAAGACTGAGCTGAAAATGGTCGTTAACTTGAACCTAGGTTAACAGTTGGAGACTCCACCTTCTGTTAAGGTCACTTGAGATATAATTTTAGTTCATATGGATTGCTAAAGCACGTGTCAACTTGAACTTACTTCAATTCGTTAGACATATGCTCTCGATCGAGAAGTTAAAGTTTTGAAACTCTACCCCTTTCATATTTGAGAGACCATTTTAGTTCACTCGGTTTGCTATGTTAGAGTCCTATTTAATTTGGATTTCATTTTTAATATAGATCGAAAAATAATAATAATAATAATAATAACGTTAAATGAGACGCTATAGTGATCTTTCTAACTAGACGTTGATAAAAGTCAACAAAATCTACTTAGTTTAACCATTACTAAACAAACATAATTATCGTTAAATATTTATTAAGGACATGCTTACCCAATTAATTTTAAAATGATTGTATCATACTAAAATAATCTTAAATCATAAAATTCAAATCCACCTAATCCAAAAATTAATGGAATGAAATTTGTCATTTAACATTTAATATATTATTTATATAATATAAAATTTAATTTATTGTCCCCACAAGTGTTATCATTCTTTTACGCATCAATTTGTCGTGAAGCCATTAATTTCTCATTCCTTTCTTAATCATTTGAGGACCACAATTTCTTTAGTAGCGCAACTAATCCGACAAATCTAGTTCCCTTCCCTTTTCTTTCGGAGTCTTAATCATTTTTTACAATGTCTTTTAAGTTTAGAGCATGACTCTGATACTATGTTAGATGAACATAACTCTCTACAATAGTATGATATTGTCCACTTTAAACATAAGCTCTGGTGGCTTTGCTTTGAGCTTTCCCAAAAGATCTCATATTAATGAACATAGTATTCCTTGATTACAAATCCACAATCATTCTCTAAATTAGCCGAGGTAGAACTTTCATCCAACATTATGAAAAATTACGATAACATTGAAATGGGTTAATATATCTCGTCTCATTTAAATTTTAATATAACGACTCAAGTTTGAGAGTTAGTTATAGTTAGAGATCAAATTAGCAATCCTAAGTCATCTCTCTCCAAATTTATTAATAAAAATAATGAATAAATTTATTTGATATTATATTGCAAATATTTTTATATCTTATACGCAAAGTAACTAAATAAATATATTTTTTTCCATTGTTAAATAAATATTTATAGATGATTATTTATAAGTTTATTTTAACTTTTGGGCCTAATAGCCCAACTAATGTCATTATAGATCGGGCCGAAGCTGATTGAATAGATACCTGGCCCAGTTTGTTTGTATAGCCCATTTATTTAAAAAACGAAATTCAGCCATAATTGATTTTCTTTTTAATTTATTATTATTATTATTATTATTATTTGTTTGTTCCAACACTACCTTCAAATCTCTTTTACTCGACCATATATAGCAATCTATTCGATTTTAACATCACGGTCTAATAAAAAACATAGAAAACATAAATATTTTTAATATCAATTTAAATAAATATGACTCAACGATAACAAATATATATGTATTTTTTAAAATTAAAGATTCAAATTTTCGTGCTCTACGTGTATTAAATATAATTAAAAACTATGAAAGTAATTATATTTTAAATAGTTAGAGATTAAATAAAAAACCCACAGTTAGAAAATGCATGTATAATTTTTCAACGCAGTAAAAGTCACCGGTTGGCCGAATTTGAATTTGTCCAAGTTCGTTCTTCTTTTTTTTTTTTTTTTTTTTTTTTTTTTNTAAAAAAATTGCCACCTCCTTCACGGAAGCGTTTCTTGAATCCTGATTGGTTGTTCAGCGCGCCTTACCAAATACTCAATCCGATAAGGTCTCTACTTCACCTCCGTCATTCTCTTTCTCTCTCTCAATCCGAATCCTTCCGCTTCACGGTGAGAGTTCTTCTCCTATTCACTTTACTTTTTTTTTTTTTTTTTTTT